TCTCTGTCTCTGTCTCTGTCTCTGTCTCTCTTCAAAGCATTGCTTGTTTGAAAAAGACCTCCCGAGATGTCATTTGGAGATGAGAGAAGCATCACCGGGATCAGCCCGAAGATAGATGGCAAGCAAAATTAAGTACGAAATTTCAAAATACCCACCAGATATAAAATCGTTCTTAGGACTAACCGAATATTACCGAAATTTCATCCAAAACTTTTCAAACCTTGCGAAGAAGAATATACCATTGCACTGGACAGACTCTCGACAAATAACTTTCGCCAATTTGAAACAAAAATTTTGCGAAGAACCAGTACTCAAGACTCACAAATACTCAGACTTCACAAAATATTTCATCTTCACCATCGACGCCTCAGATGAAGGTCTAGGAACAATATCTCCTCTCCAAGACGGACATCCATGTTATCCGTCCTGAGAACACTCAACGCATTTCATAGAAACTACAGCACATCCGAGAAAGAATTATTAACGACGACGTTTCACAATACGCACAGATCAGGCCCTTAAATGGCTACAAAATGTAAAAGATCCTTCATCTACACTCATGAGATGGAGATTAAAGTTAGAAGAATATAAATACGACATAAAATATAGGATTTTTAATTCAGAGGAAAAGACAACATCATTGCCGACGTACTTCATAACTACGAGTTAGGAACAGGAGTCAGGAACATGTGGTATTTCAAGGTTATTCAAAATTATTCGAGCACTTTTCAAAAATTATCTGTATTGAGAGTATCAAAAAATTATTGTCTTATCTTTATTCTACCTCTAGTAATATTCTATCTCTAATAGAGTAATAAACACTGGTTTATTCTACCTCTACGGAATAGTTACATGTTCTCCAATGTCTGAAAGTGTTTGATATATAACAAGTCGATGAGTTTAACATAGAATGTTAAATATGTTACATGCGCGTGAATAAAAATGCATAGTTTCATTTAAAAAAAACAAACATCACTTTGAAAATACGTCTACTTAGACAAGATTTGTGATCACCAAATCCACCAAAAGACCAAAAGGTGCTCCCTTCGAAACAAAGTAAATTTCATTTAAAAAAATTTTTCTATGATGAATATTTAGGAGTTATTTGCGTAAGACATTTCAAATGGGATAAATTTTATTAGATAAATTATTTTTGTGCTATTTCGCAATAAACTTGTTTTATGCAAAAGTTGCAAATGTACTCTTTTGATTTAAAGCAGCAGAGAATTGGTTAATTATTGGATCTTAAGAACCATAAAATATTTATTATTTATTTATCTAATGAAAAAATCTTTGGTGTATAGAAAGTTCGTGTCTGAAAAAGAGTTGCTGAAAAAGACTAGCAAATTGACAGCGAATATGGGAGTTAATACAATTCTAATTATTATATAATTCAGGAGTTGAATATAATTCTAACTATCACATGACATACGATAGAAGAAATGAGAAAAGGATAATATCTGAAATTTCTAAGTGGAGTATATTAGTTTAATTAGAGATAATGTTTCAGAACAGTCGATTAAGTTCTTATGATCCAATTATCATTAGATTTAATATCTTCAGCGCAAAAAAGACCGTTGCAGATGTTATAAATGTGACTAACAATAGCACACGTTAAACTTATTATTTTTACTTCATTAACTCTTTCTTTTTATGCTAACAGCTTGTTCTAGATTTGATCATCTTTCTTTTTCCATCTACCGTTCTGAATGGAGAAGGTTCGAGTCTCCATTGGATCTCCGGAATATCTCCCAATGGAAAACGCATATCTTTGATTATGGTGGGATCGGATACCGATATGAAATCGATTCATCGCGATGCAAGGATGAAAATTTATTCGTAATGTTTGCATTCTGGACCGTATAAAGGTGGGATTTTCTATAAGCGTCAGACGCACGTGTCTTCTATGCATCAGAGAACGCAATATTTAGACTGCTTTTAGACTGCACTCTGCTTTGACACCAAATTCGTATTCATTCACTAACACTTGTTTAACCGTTGTCTTGCGATTCTTTGGTTTTTCTTTCAAATCGAAACGATAACTTGTACTATCGAGTCAAGTTATGGTTTCGATTTGAAAGAAAAGCCAAAAAATTGCAATCCTAACGAAATCTAAATTCGAATTTTTAATTTACTTTCTTTAAACTGAACATCATATATCTAAAATAATGTTACAATTTTGGTAAATAGTGCTTACTAGATTTCAAGATATTGACAATCGAGTTGATTCGAAAATCGGGAGAATTGAAAAGAAAATCGAGTTAGTAAACGATACGAATACGAGCACATTGGTCTAAGTGGAGGTTTTGAAGTGTGACTTAAATCTAAATGTACTGTAATACGAGTGATCGATAGTTGAAAATTGTATGTAACAACGCAGTTCTTCATTCTTCTTCGCTATTTCGATACGAATTTGGTACGTGTGCAACAGATGGCCATCCCATTTTATAATAAGAAATCATCGATACCGCGCGAATTTCGCCGATGCGACGTACTTCTACCACATGGTGGAATTGGCCAAAAAAAAAAAAAAAAAAGAGCCAAGCGGTACTTGACGAGGGAAAGTAAAAGTATTGAAAATACATTAATTCACTGTCAGATTTTTCGGAACGCACGTACCCGATCATATATGAAGGAGGTGTATCGTATCCACTGAAACAGCCTGTGCGTATAATAATTGCGGTGATGAAACACAAAGATGAAATGACACGCGACAGAGTGTTACTCGTGATTCTTCTAAAGACATATAGTTTGTTCATAATCGAAACTATACACCATTCTCACGGGTAAAGTAGAAGAGATAATAAACGGTAAAATTGTATTGAGGTGCGAATTAGAGTGAGTGAGAGTGAAATGGAATACAAAGCAAACTTAAAAAAAGGCACCTACTGTCAATTTGTCAATGTTGTCATGATTCGATAATGGTATGCCTATGATTGAATCTGTATTTAGCGGATGATTCAGTACGATTCTTATAATAATAATGATAATAATAATCTCTTTTCTTTTTTTCCCCGCGATTCAAACCGGAATTGAGGGACGATGTCGTTTTCGTTCGAAAAAGACGCGAAGATAATTGAATCCGTGAATCTAACATCCGTCGTTGAATCAAACGAAGAAAACGTGATATCAGCTGCATCTTGATTAGCCGGCAGTCGAGATCGATGATAAATGCTGGACCTGTTCTCCGATAGCCAAACAGATTTACGAGCGTTGCTCCACTTCAACTGATTACGTGAGATTAGGATTACAGTGCGGGACAAAATATACGCCATCCCTCATCATGTGATCAATTATAAATCAATATAAAGATCAATTTCTTGGAATCAATTTCTTGGTTTGTGAATGTTGTCGAAAGAAATTTAAATTACGGCTGATTATGGTCGATTAGGATTCGTTTTTGTAGAGCATAGATTCGTGATTCTTTTCACATGGCACGTGGTTGCTACTTGACAGCACTTGATTATAGCATCTCCTGATGCTACGGCCAGGTGTTCGAATTCTTTCATCATGATGATTGCGACGTCCTTTGCTTTGACATGGACTAAGGTGAGATCGTTTCGTATGACCTGGAATTTTGAGGTGTTTTTCCACGTACACGAATTGACGCGTGTGAATATGTTCAAATTATTGATGAGTGTTGGTTCCTTGCTCTTGAATCTTCCGGCGAAGATGAAGACACTGTGACAGTGCGTAAGTAGTAATGTATATAACTTCACATTTCAGCCAATTCACAATACTTGTGTTATACCAAAGGTGTATGACAACACTCTCACTTTATCAGAGATCGTATGTTCTAATAATTTAAACGCACGAACAAACACGTGGGAATTAATTATTCAAATTTCTATTCACTGGTCACGCAATTTTTAAGTATACCAGATATCGTAGCCAAAATTTGGACGTAGACTAATTGAAAAAACTGCACAGATTGACAGTAAAGATACCTTTATTGAATTCATTGGCGGTTCTTTATAAGTTTCGTTATCTTTATGAAGGAAGGAGGGATTATTTTAGTAAAAAGCAGTATTCACTGGTTTAGAGGTTCAGGACACATTATCGTCAATTATTATTTCTACAAAGATGTTTGTTCTTGCGGTATCGTATACAATTTCTTAAGAGTCCATTCGGTGTCTTTGAGTTAGTGGTACAGCTTTATGATATATAATATTTTTTAAAATGATCATTATTGAAATCTTGCTAATGGATAGAACTGTAAAGTCATCTCGTTGAAACTTGGTGGATTTCTTAAGATTATTTAATGCGCTTAGAAAAGTGTCGAGGTGTTCGCTAAGTTCTGCAGTTAAGGCTTCTATCACAATGATTTGAGCTGTCAAATGCACGTCTTAGATATTGGAGAACAATTTCAAATTTTCTCGGTGTAATTCTTCCACGCGACGCTGTTTGTGTTAAGTATGTTTCTAAGCATGACGATTTGGTTATGTATTACATTAGTTATGTCGTTATTGGCAATGAAGAGTTTATCTATATTATCTGGTCAATTAATTCGAGATCGTTATCTAAGCTTCCAAACCTTATATTTTTGACACGCTGCCTATTGCATTCAAAAGACCTCGTTTGTTTCTGATATGCATTAATCGTTCAAATCTGGTAACGCTTTTTCTTAATTTATCAATCTGACATTTAATTAGTTAGTGTTTCTGGCTCTAAGTGACATTTAATTTTATGGCA